TTTATGCTTAACTGAGGAGTGACCTGAAAGTATTATTAATGATCTTTTTAAAAATAAAATATTTCTTTGTTCTGATTTGACCTGTAATTATAGATCATGTTTTGATAAAAAATTTAATACAGTATGGGTATCATTCTGGACATCATTTCTCATTGTATATTTTGCCATAGATTCAAAAAGTGTAGGAATTGAACTTGCCCCACAGAATGGAACACCCCCATAGAATTAGCCTGAAAGTTTTAAATCACAACCTATTTGAATGTTTTTTTGTTTTGTTTTATATAAGTTGAAAATAAGAAAGAAAAACATCCTGATTATTTAAATTAAAGACGTTCTGTAATGACAAAATAATAAGTTAAAAAATGAACAGAAAATGATTTTTATAATAAGGCATGCCTCACTCAACAATCTCAAATAATTTTTCCCTTTGCAACAATTTACAGTGTAATTGTGAAATCAAGAAACTTACAGGGTGAATGGTTGATAATAAGCTTTTTGGTTTAAATTTCTGCTGATTAAGAATGGATTGTTGAAATAACTAGATCTGGTCATTGCAAAATATGACCTAAAAGAGAAAATTTGTACTGAAAAAATATAGCCTTTTATATGGTTTTTAATATTAGTGTTTTTCATAAGCAATTTCTGCCATGATTTCTAAATCTTATTAGATTTGGTGTGTGCCATATGAATGAGTATTTTCATAGAGTAGTTCGGTATTTTGTATCCTATCTTGGAAACAGTTGGCTATTAAAACATTTTTGCTTTAATAAGAGCTATCGAGAAATTCATGTAAGTTTAAGAGTTTGAACATGAGACTATTAAACTGTCGATAGGAACATAAAAGACTTAAAGAGAAACATCAATACTATGTTTATATTATAAAAGGTTTCAAGTCCTGAAAAGGTAGTTGTCTATAGTTAATAAACATTTTTAGAGTATTCATCTTAAAATGTAGATGTTTATACATTAAAAGTGAAGACTGAAAGGTTTTAAATTGATATACTTATTGATGCATACATCCACACATTTATCTAAAGATGAGTAGCTATTTTTATTTTAGTAATAGGAAAAATTCAAAATTATATATTCTTACTAAAAAAGAACACATTTTAAATTCTAGGAACTGAATATATTCTTTTCCTGAGTTTATTAGCTCCTATGTATCCAGAGACTTTTCGTACTATCTTAGTCTTCCGTCGTTCTCCTAATAGTCAAATAACAAAAAAGAAGGACATTTTGGGCCCCGTGAAACTTGGAATTACTCATGCTGTAGCTAATTGTTTCTTATGTGCTGCTGAGATAAAAGGCTTAAGTAAATGTTGTGAAATTATGGCTTCTAATGAGGATTTTGAACTTAGGAGTAAATTTTTTCTTATCATTTGTCTTTTAATTTAGTAAGAGAAGTTAAAGTACTTTGGGAGGAAGAGTAGCTTTTACTCACACACCCAACATTGAAAAAAAATTTTTTTTTTTAACATATATTGATTTCAGAGAGAGGAAAGGAGAGGGGGAGAGAGAGAGAGAAACATCAATGATGAGCGAGTCGTTGATAGGCTGCCTCCCGCACCCCCCCCTCCTCCCCCCGACTGGGGATCAAGCCTGCAACCCAGGCATGTGCCCTGACCGGGAATGGAACCCCGATTGCCTGGATCCTAGGTCGACTCTCAACCGCTGAGCCATGCCCGGCCAGGTGAAAATTTATATATATCCAACACTTTGGCAGGACCGTCATTATTATTTTAACCTCCACAAACATCATTATTGCTCCTTTACACTGTTAGTAGTCTTTTATATATTTACCCTTTCCAGTGTTTTCATTCTCTTGTACTCTCATGCTCTCATCTGGAATTTTTCCCTTAGCCTGACCCTAATCATAACCCTTTGGTGTTCCTCTTTCTTTGGACCTCCTGGTGGGTGGTGTGTCAGGGGTCTGTCTGTCTGTCTGTGTAAGTCTGTATTTCTTTGTTTTTGAAGGATATTTTTTCCTAGCCACTAAATTCTAGGTTGATAGTTTTTTCTTAGAACTCTAAGATAACATTTGTTGTCTTAGTTTTTCATAGTTTCTGTTGAGAAGTTATGTGGAAGTAATGTGTATGTGTTCTGTCCCCCACCTACTGACTGCTTTAATGTTACCTCTTTATCTTTAGTTTTCAGTGGTTTGAATCTGGTGTGCCCAGGTGTAGATTGGTTTGTATTTATACTACTTGGAGTGCCCTGAGCTTTTTGAATCTGTGACTTGAGTTTCTGATGAGATTTGGTAAATTTTGGTTCTTTCTGTACTGTTTCTGTCTCATTCTTTTGCCTCTTGTCCTTGAATATATTAACCATCTTCCAGCTCGCTCTTTTTTAAAAAAAAGATGTTTTTATTGATTTAAGGGGGGGAGAGAGGGAGAGAAACATCAATTTGAGAGAGAAACATTGATCAGCTGCCTCCTGCATGCACTCCAACTAGACATGCAAAACAATTTTTTTAAAGTAATGTTCAAGACATTAAATTGTCCATAGAAAGACACTCAGGTATAATCCAGAAAATGGAGTTGGCAAAGACTTAATAACTATGATTACTATGATAAACTGGAAGATGGGGGAAAGGAGTTGAAAAAAAAAAAAGTATTTGAAAAGGGACTTAAAATCTATTTAAAAAAAAAAAAAAATCAAATGGAGCCTGGCTGGGTCGCTCAGTTGGTTGGAGCATTGTCCCATACACCAAAAAGGCTGCAGGTTCAGTGCCCTCTCGGGGCACATACCTAGTCTGCAGGTTCAATCCCCCATCTGGGTGGATACCGGATGCAACCAATAGATGTTTCTCACATGGGTGTTCCTCTTTCTCCCTCTCTCCTCCCCTTCCTCTTTCTCTAAAATCAATAAACATATCTTTAGGTGAGGATTAAAATAAATCTCTTTAAAAAAAAAAAAAATCAGCCCGGCTGGGCGTGGCTCAGCGGTTGAGCGTCGACCTGGGATCCAGGCGATCAGGGTTCGATTCCCGGTCAGGGCACATGCCCAGTTGTGGGCTTGATCAATGACTCTCATCATTGATGTTTCTGTCTCTCTGTCTCCTTTCCTCTCTCTGAAATCAATAAAGATATATTAAAAAAAAAAAAAATCAGACACATGGAACTGCCAACTACAAAGTCTGAAATTAGGTGTTTATCGAATGAGTAACAACATTGAACTCAGCAGAATGTAGGACTGGTGAAGTCAAAGACAGGCCAAAAGAAAATATTAAAACAAACACAGGGGGGGAAAGAATAGATGGTAAGAAACAGGTGGGCCCTGTGTCTTAGTTGGCTGAGCAATGTTCCCATGCTCTGAAGGGTTTCGGGTTTGATTCCTGGTCAATGCACATACCCAGGTTGCTGGTTCAATCCCCGCTAGGTGCATGTACATGTATGGGAGGCAACCTATTAATGTTTATCGCTCACAGATGTTTCTCTCCCTCTCTCTCTGGAATCAGTAAACATATTCTCAGGTGAGGATTTAAAAAAAATTTTTGACTTGGTTAAGTAATCAAGCCAATAAGTTCCTGGGTATAGCACTGTGATCGTTGGCATTACAATTGTGAACAAAGTCTAGGTATAGCCCCTGTTATGAGTGACTTTAGGCTAGTAGAAAGTAGTTCCTGGACATGTCATTTTGATTTGAAAAATGTATTTTGTAAAATAAGTACTTATCACCTATCTGCTCTCAGATCTTTTTTTTTTTTTCCTTAATATATCTTTATTGGTTTCAGAGAGAGGGAGAGAGAGAGTTGAAACACCAATGATGAGGGTTGTCATTGATCGGCTGCCTCCTGCACACCCCCGACTGGCGATCAAGCCCACAACCTGGGCATGTGCCCTGACCGGAATCGAACTGCGATCTCCTGGGTCCTAGGCTGATGCTCAACTGCTGAGCCACACCCGAGTGGGTGTTCTGACAACTTTTAGATGATATATCACTGATTTTACATAATCTTTTCACTGTGAATTCTATCATTTTGCCTTTTCAGTTTAAATCTGATACCCAAACTCTTGGTATAGTTTGCCCCCCTCCCTCCTTTTTTTGTATCAGCTTCTGGTGACTTTCTTTGGCTCTGTTTTGTTGACACCAGTTTATAATAGGATGAAGTGCTATGTGGAGCAGTGTGAACACTCGTTATCCCCAGGCTCCTTTTCTGACATTAGATGACAGTATTAATTATGTGTAATCTAGAAAAAGACTTAAGTACAAGCCAATGTCCAGCTGTTTGCATAGGGCCAATTGGAAATGAGAAATTGCAGAACTTTTCAGTTACCATATGTCATAACAGTATGACATGAAGGCAAGAACCTTCATGTGTAGTATTGCTTGATCACTTTATGAAACTTTTTTGTTATCGTAGTATAGGTATACTTTCCACACTTTAGTTGGATTTTTCCCCCTCCGCACTTTCTATACAGTACTTTAATGTTATGTTAAGAAGGTAGCTGATTTTCCCAGCTTTGTTGCATGGTCTCTAACATGTTTTCTGTTATTAAAATATGTAAAGTGCCCTAGCTGGTTTGTCTCAGTGGTTAGAGTGTTGGCTGCGGACTTAAGGGTCCTGGGTTTGATTCTGGCCAAGGGCACGTACCTCGGTTGCAGGCTCTGTCCTCAGCCTCGGTTAGGTCACCTGCAGTAGGCAACCAATCAATGTCTCTCTCTCCCCCTCCCTCCTTCCCTCCCTCTGAAAAGCAATGAAAAAAATATCCTTTGGTGAGGATTAAAAAAATTAAAAATAAATAAAATGTGTAAGTGGAAGATAACTATATGTATTATTGTTGTGTTTTTTAATTTGAGAAACCCTTTTCTCTTAATGAAGATATGCTAGAATGGAGAGTCTGGAGCTTTACTTAGAGGTTGGTTTGTGGTCTGTTTTATGAATGTTTGTAATTTCTTCTTTAAAAGATAATATTGGCACTGTTGGTTCAAGTTTATTTAGAGTTTTGCTGTCAGACGTGTTAAGAAATTTTAAATAATATTTTATTATTTTCCATTAGGAAACCACCCCTACTCCTAATCCCCCGCCTACAGTAGAAGAAGAGAAAACAGAATCTAACCAGGAGGTTGCTAACCCAGAACACTATATTAAACATCCTTTACAGAACAGGTAAGCTTTCTGACACATAGTTTTCTGATTTAGACAACAAGGTAAATGGTGAATAGGGTAGGTTTGGAGAGAAAGGTTAGATGAGACTAGTTTTAGGTATGTCAGGTTGAGAATTCCATTTTCACTTCGATGACCCATGTCTAATAAGCATTTTTAGTATGAGTCTTGAGCCCAGAAAGAAGAACTGGTTGAGAGATTGGTTTGAAATTCATCAGTAATGGGTGGTGGTAATTAAAACCACCCATGACATGAAGGGCATAGAGATAGAAACTGTATAAATTATACATATATAAAGGTCAAATATCCATTGAATTGAACAATAAAAAAGTCTCAAAATGACCTCTGGATTTGAATGATAAGAAGAGTACTTGCTGCTCCGGCTGGTGTGGCTCAGTTGGGCGTAGTCCTGTGCACCAAAAGGTTGATGATTCGATTCCCGATCAGGGCACATGCCCAGGTTGCGGGCACTTTCCCTAGTAGGGGGGAAGCAGGGGGCAGCTGATCGATGATGTTTCTTTCTCATTGAGGTTTCTCCCTACCATTCTCCCTTCCTCGCTCTAAAAATCAATAAAAAACATTTTTAAAAAAGAGTTCTCGCTAATGTAGGAGAAAGTTTAGTAGAGTGTAGATGATGGAAAAAAGTAGGAGTAGTTTGAAGAGTGAATAGAATATACAAAAATGTGTAGAGCAAGAATAGGCAATTTGAAATTGTCTCTGAAGGACAAAAGAGGGCTAGGGGATTTGGATTCCGGAGGTGGTTGGTTTGTGTTTAAGACAGGTTAGGAAAAATTAAGATGAATTAAAGTTTTCACCTGGCTGGCATGGCTCAGCAGTTGAGCATTGACCTATGATTCAGCAGATTGTGGTTCTATTCCCGGTCCGGGCATATGCCCCGAGTTTTGGGCTTGATCCCCAGCAGGGGGCATGCAGGAAGCAGCCAGTCAACGACTCTCATCAATGTTTCTCTCTCTCTCTACGTCTCCCTTCCTCTCTCTGAAATCAATAAATACATTTAAAAAAAGATGAGTTAAAGTTTTCATAGTTACAGCATAGTAGCTGAGTGGTAGTTCATTGTATGGTTTTCCCATTACTGCCCCACCTCTTCCCATTATGTTTGTGTTTTTACTTAATTGTCTTTCTGGTTTATGTAATGAAAATTAACATGAATTCATTGAGAGTTGATGGTAGAAAGAAAATGGCAACATATAAATGTAAGAATCTGTAGGAAAGTAAATTGGAATTGACTTTTGAAGATATTTAAATATTTCAGTTTCTTTGATTTTCCCCCACCTTTTACTCTATTTACTTTAAAGTTCTCATAAGTAAGTTTAATTTCATTTCATTTATCTAAAAATTTTTTTAAAAATATATCTTTATTGATTTTAGAGAGAGGAAAGAAGAGGGATAGAGAGATAGAAACATCAACGATGAGAGAGTCATTGATCGGCTGCCTTCTGCATGTCCCCAACTGGGGATCGAGCCCGCAACCCAGGCATGTGCCCTGACCGGGAATTCAACCCCGATCACCTGGATCCTAGGTTGACGCTCAACCACTGAGCCACACCTGGCCGGGCCTGAATATTTTTTATGATTTCTTCATTATGGTTGACCTACTGAAATAATAGTCTAAACATGTTTTATTTTGTTTTTTTATAGGAGTACTGTGGTTTAACATATCTTTCAGTGAGGAACATATCCATTCTTTAGACATTGGGGATTGTCAGCTAGTGAGTGAGCTATCAAAGGTCAATAGTCTGTAAAGGGTAAAATCCTTCCTCAGGAAAACATTGTATCAAAGGTATTAAGTGGAATAATGTCATATAGTTCAGCCTCACAGTAGCACCAAAACCTTTAAAACATTTTTTCATCTTTCAGTGTTATCTTTAAAAAGCTAGCTAGTTCTCTGTGCCTTCTAGCTGTATGTTCTCAGTGTTGCTATTACTGTGGCAGGAAGTTATCAAGGCATATATTTATCCCTCACAGCTTGAATGCAATCTAAGAAGAGATTTCTGAAAAGTGGCCTCATTGGTAAACAGACCAATTAAATCCTAAAATGGAAGTCTTTGAGGATTTCAGTTTCTCTATAAATTTTACTTCTTGTGTAAAATTATAAATATCATTTAGAAAAATATTCAGTTAGGCTTCATGGTTCAGATTTTGGTAGTTTTCTCATTACTTTTTATAAATACTGCCAAATTTATTTTGCTTTCTAGAAAATAACCGCTAATAATTATGATCAGATCAACAGTGTACAAGTCTATAAATCAGTTTTCTGCTTTTTTCAGATATCTTTTCCTCACTTTACTTTTCTCCACTCCCTGAAGTAGTCAGTGTTAAATTTGGTTTATATTCTTCTAAAACTTTCCAGTGTGCACATGTATACTACTTATACAGGTGGCTATACATTTTTTGTTTGTATTTGCAGATTTTGCATTATTATTTTTAACTACTGCCTTATAGTAAATGGCTATAAAATCATGTATTTTATCAGGTTTACATTAATGGGCACGTATATATTTTTTTCTATATACAAATAGTGCTATAGTGTATGCATCTTTATGTACTTTTGTGCACTTGTGTGAATATATTTTTAGGGTAAAATTTCAGATTTTTGAGGTTAAAGACTACCATTTAACAACCTTTATAGATATTGTGAAATTACTCTCTTTTACCAACTTAGACTTTTAATAGTTTGAGAGTTTCTGTTTTTTACATCCCTTGCCAACCATCAATTTATAATTATTGTCAGATTGTCCTATTTTTGATGTGAAAAAACATTGTCTTACTGTTTTAAAGTTGCATTTCTTTCATTGAAGTTTCAAAACAATTTCATATTGTATTGATCATTTGTTTTTAAACTGACTGTGAATAGTATGTTTAGTTTTATTTCTTATTATTAGAAAATATACCTGAGAAAATGTAAAATTATATATTCATTTTTCATTATATGTTAATTTTTTTGTGAAAAAAATATTATCCAAAATAAAATATAGTGGAAAGAATGGCATTTTTGCATTCTTGTAAATCTTTTCAAGTGCCTGACTTAGAAGTTAGGTAGATTTTCATAGCTGCTTCTGTGTATTCAGGCTGTGGAGAGGAATTGTTTCAAAGAAAGTATTAAAAAATATGACCTCATACAGGTATGTGGTTGCAAAAGGGAGAAGAATTTTAATAACCTTTTAAAATGATTATGAATATTCTCCTTTGATACTAGATTTCTTATAGACTAGTTGTAATGTGGAATCTGAAGCCATATCCAAGAACTTTTCATATTTTATTACATTAAAATCCATTGGTCTATCTTGTATTTGGAATGGATTTTTTTACCCATACATGATTTTGCAGTACACTTGTCATTTGGAAAATACTGATTTTAATGAGTTACACAACCTCCCAGATATTGACACTTTTTATTATACAACATCAAAACAATAATAATTATTATTAATTAATATCACTAAATAATTAATATCACTACTAAATTCATCAGAAATGCCTTTACATTTTAGTAAGTTGTAAAGCTCACAGTGACACACACAAGCTTTCCAAAATTTTGATTTTCTTCTGAAAGCTCAAATTTTAACCAACAGGCTCACTCTGTTCATTTTTCAAGAAATAACCATGGTTCGTCAGCCATTCTTTCAAGTTAAAATGGTGTTTCATGAACAAAGTGGCTAGTTCACGTCACAATTCAGTTGCCTAAGAATTGTATTTCTGTATGCAGTAGATGTGTTTTTTGTACAGAATATGAGAAAAACGTACACAGATTGAAATTTAACTAAGCCAGTAATTTTTACTGCTTCATTGGTGGCATTCTTAACTGAAACTAACAGTGTTGTTGCTGTGAGTTGGTGATAATAAGATACAGTGTCTACTAATACAATTTGGTGCCGCTGTATTATTCTTGCTAAGACACCAGCTGATTTACTACCATTGCTTTTGCACTATTAATGCAAATGTCAACACAATGAAAAATAAAATAATGTCTTCACATTGTTATGAAAATGCCTTTTACTCATCAGTGCTCGTTAAAGAGCCTTGGAGTCCCCCAGGAGCCTGCAAAGCACACTTTTAGAACTGCTGATTTCAAGATTCCTTGTTTATAGGTACTGAAGATTTTTCCAAATTTTCCAAAATTAGGAACATTTTTGTATAAACATTTTTGCCTAGTGACCAGTTATTTTGTTAGGATAAATCTTTATATGTTTAATGGATGAATGAAGTGTAAAAAAAAAAGACGGAAGTAATTTTATTATTGTTTTTTAAATTGAGGTGTAATTGACATAACATTAGTATATCAGTTTCAGGTTACACACTATGATGATATTTTGTATATATTGGTACAAAATACACAGTTTTGTATATATTTGGTATTTTGTATATATTGTGAAATGATCACAACAATAAGTCTAGCTAGCATCTGTCACCATATATAGTCACAAGTTTTTTTTCTTGTGATAGAAACTTACAGGATCTACTCTCCTAGCAACTTAAATATGTAATACAATATTATTAACTATCGTCACCATGCTATATATTACATCTCCATGATTTATTTTATAACTGCAATTTTCTACCTTTTAAACCCCTTCACCCATCCTCCCCCCCCCAAAAAAACACATTAATCTGTTCTCTGCATCTATGAGGTTTTTTTAAGACTCCATATATAAGTGAGATTGTATGGTATTTGTCTTTCTCTGCCTGACTTAATTCACTTAGCATAATACCCTTAGGTCTATCTGTGTTGTTATAAGTGGCAACATTTCCTTATTCATTTTATGGCTGAATAATATTTGTGTGTGTGTGTATACATATCATATTTTCTTTATCCATTTATCTATTGATGGATATTAGATTGTTTTCATGTCTTGGCTATTGTAAATAATGCTGCAATGAACATGGTACAGATATCGTTCTGAGTTAGTATTTAATTTTTTAAAATCCCCAGAAGTAGAATTGCTGGATCATATGGTAGTTCTACTTTTATGTATTTATTTATTTTTTAAAATATATCTTTATTGATTTCAGAGAGAGGAAGGGAGAGGGAGAGAGAGAGAAACATCAATGATGAGTCATTGATCGGCTGCCTCCTGCACGCCCCCAGCTGGGGATGGAGCCCACAACCCAGGCATGTTCCCTTACCAGGAATCAAACCTCAATCTCCTGGATCCTATGTTGATGCTTAACCACTGAGCCACACCCGGCCAGGCAGTTCTACTTCTAATATTTGAGGAAAGATTAAATTATTTTTAGAAATCCAGAGTACAGTACTCAAACTTGTGATTTTCTGCCTTTGCTTTTTGTGTTTTTGATAGTGGGTTGGCAAATACAAATTATCAAGTTGATGATAAAATGTATCTCTCTTATGTCTGAGATTATCAGGCATTAGTCATAGAGTTAATGAAATACGTCCGTCCATTTGGAAGCCCTGTCTTCTTCGCACAACATATTTATCAATGAGAAAATGAGATTTCTCTTTGAGTTACATTTGGTATAGTAATTCAGTGAATATAATTCCAAAGGTGAATTTTCTTGGGATGATAACATTTAAGTGTAACTTTTATGTAACATGAGTTTTATCTTCAAAGTATTAGAGTAAAACCTTTTTTAACTGAAGTATAAATAGATACGTATATAGAAGCTGTTACACATTATTGCAGAACATATCTGTGGTAGCATTACTCAGTAAATCCCTTTATTTTCCCATTTGTGTGTTTTAGTAAACAGTCACATTTAATAATTTTCCCTCTTGCTAGCACTCCCATTTCTTCCTCTTAGCTTTTGCTGTTTTGTTTCTCTGAAAACTCTGCTTTCCTGTTTCCTGATTTCCTTTCAGGTTAAGTGCTTCTGCTCTGTTTTTCTTAAGTAACTATTCTTGATTATCATAGCACTTAGCATACTGTAATACTCTACTAAATTTCTGTGAATTACCCTGAGGGATGAGCCTCAGTGGGTCTCTGTGTCATCAGAAAATCTGCTGTGTATTAGGCACAAAATACATACCTTTTAAATGGAAAAAAGGGAGAAAGCTACTCATCATTGCTACTGTAATAACTACCATTTAAAATTATCTATTTATTTTTAGTTTTGGTTAAATATACATAACATAAAACTTAACCATCTTTTAAATGTACAGTTCAGTAGTTTAAGTGCATCCATGTTGTACAACTAGTCTACGGAACTCTTCATTTTTTCAAAACTAAAACTCTACCCCATTAAGCAACAGTCCCCCGTTTTCCTTCCCTTTGGCCCCTGGCAACCACCATTCTTTCTGTCTCTGTGAGTTTGACTACTCTAGGTATCTCATATAAATAAGAATCATACAGTATTTGTGTTTTTTGACTATCTTTATTTCACTTAGCCTAGTTTCCTCATGGTTTATCCATGTTGTAGCAAGTGTCAGAATATCTTTACTTTTTAAGGCTGATTAATATTGCATTGTATGTTTTTACCACATTTTGTTTGTTATTAATATATCAGTGGACACTTGTATTGCTTCCCCTTTTCTGTTATTGTGAATAATGCTGCAGTGAACATGGATGTAAAACTGCCATTTTTTGACACTGACTTTTTATTTTTAGATGGGCACTCTGGTTTTTTAAAAATGATAAAAGCAAAACTTGGCAAGCAAACCTTCGGCTGATCTCTGAGTTTGATACTGTTGAAGACTTTTGGGCGTAAGTAACTCATTCATTTTAGGATGTTTGTTTCATTAGTATGTAATTTTTCATTTTAAGCCACATTTACAAAATGAAGGTTAAAATGAAAAGTTAATAAATATGCATCTGTAGAACTACCTTTTTGTTGGTCTATCTCCTCACAACTATTTGAATTGGTGCCTAGTCCTCATCAGTTTCAGAAAGCTTCAGTCTTGTCATTTTTAGCCCTGCATGTTGTCTATTCCTTGTCCTGAGAGATCCTTTGCTTTATTACCCCTAGAACTTTTGACAAAATGTTGGAACTTTTCCCCTTTCTTGGTTGCCTGGATACATTTGCCCCATACTTTGGTATTCTAGTGCTTTGTTAGATCTTCATTTCTGCAGATTATTTTCAGTGTAACATCTGGGATTTCTTGCTATGAGAATTCTGAGGCCCTGACCAGGTAGTTCAGTTGGTTAGAACATTGTTCCCATATGCCAAGGCTGCAGATTAAATTCCCAGCCAGGGCACATACAAGCAGCAACCAATGAATGCATAAATATGTGGAACAATAAATCAATCTCTTCCCCCTGCATCCTCTCTAAAAATCAATCAATCAGTCAATAAAAAGAATTTTGAGATTTCAAAGACCGAAGCGGTCAACATTCAGTGTTTGTCAAACAATGACATCTGTGAAGATTATTTATAAATTTCATTATACTTTGTAATCACCTTCAAAAATAGTTAAAACTTTTTCTTGAGATTTTGTTTCAGATATAGCAAAAAGTTAAGATTGGGTTCATAAACCTGTGCATGACTTCAAAATAAAATATAAAGTTTTTTTCAAGAAGGTTTGGAATATTCTGTGAGAACAAAATTAATTTAGTATGTCATACTTGAAAAATGTATATGGAGAAAATATTTGAGAACATGAAAAATAAAAATTGTTAAAAACATTTTTAAGAGCTGTAAATTACCTAGCAATTATCTAAAATATTCTAATTTGTAAATCTAGTGTATTTTTGGATCATATATACTGAATAATTGATACTACTCTTGTTTTTTAATGTAACTCTTGTGTTTTAATTCTCCCCGCACAAAAGAATAGATTATGGTGAGCAAGTTTATTATGTATACTTCCTCCAGGGCAGAAACTGTATTCTTCTGTATATTTTTAGTGCTTTGCCCATCATAGGCATTCAGTATGCATTTGAGTCACTGAAGAAAACAAAGCATTGAATAATTAGAGAAAATTATAAATTGTGAGCTAGCCACTTTGAGTGCTCACTTTTTATTGAAAGCATTGTGTGTGTTTTTTAAGTAATAGAACTACATTTAAGCCCCAGTAATTCATGTATCTAGGTGTCTAGTTTAACTGAGGTTATTTTGTTTTACCCTTTGTCAAAACATCATGTTTTTCTTCTCTGATTGTATTTATTCAAGACTGCTCCAGTCTACTGAGGAGGAGCAAGAGTCTTGAACAGTTTCTCCCACTGAATCAGATTTGAATTTATCTAGTTTGTTTGGTTTTCACCATTATACATAATTGTGAACAGATTCGAACATGGCCCCACACTTTAGTTATGTGTAATGATCGATTGTCTCCTGTACGTGCCCAATTGGGGATCAAACCTGCAACCTGGGTAAGTGCCCTGACTGGGAATCAAATCTATCACCTTTCAGTGCATGGGATGACTCTCCAACCTACTGAGCCACACTAGCCAGGGCTGCATAGGAGAGTTTGTTTGTTTTAAAGGAAAGCTCTTTTCTTTTTTAATATATCTTTATTGATTTCAGAGAGAGGAAGGGAAAGGGAGAGAGAGAGATAGAAACATCAGTGATGAGAGTTGTTGATTGGCTGCCTCCTGCACGTCCCCTACTGGGGATTGAGTCCACAGCCTGGGCGTGTGCCCTGACCGGGAATTGAACCGCCATTTCCTGGATCATAGGTCAATGCTCAGCTGCTGAGCCCTGCCCGGCCGGGCCATAGTAGATTTTTATACCATAATTTAGAGATATGAAGGAACCTTTCAGTTTTCTTTCTTTTTTTTTTTTTTAAATATATCTTTATTGATTTCAGAGAGAGGAAAGGAGAGGGAGAGAGAGAGATAGAAACATCAATGATGATCGAGCCTGCAACTCAGGCATGTGCCCCGACCGGGAATCGAACCCCAATCACCTGGATCCTAGGTCAATGCTCAACTGCTGAACCACTCCCGGCTGGGCTCAGTTTTCTATAAATACCTAAGTCACTTCTTAATTTCTTTCTTTTTTCTAGCAAATTTAGTGGTAAATAACCATTGAGTCCTTTCGGATTTATCTAATCTGTCTATAGTGTTAGGATTCTGTTTAAATATCCATTATGAGTTCTCATTATAAACTTGTTACTAAGGGACCTTAGGGCACCATGGAGGGGAAAGGATACCTGTTCTACCTTGAATGCCATTAGAGGCCACTGCCACACTATTAATTTTATAAAAATGGTGGAGGCTAATTTTATAGTAAACTATTAGTATCCAGGCCTCTTTTATTGTCTAATGAAGCTATCAGTGATAACTTAGTTCGGGAAGAGTGATCATTAGGTACAATGACTCAAGAAACCTTACTTGGTCTTACACTGTTTCACCCGAATTGTGTTTACATGTTGTCCTGTGGAATGTGATTTGAAGGATGCCAGACTTTTTCTGAAAACTGTGCTTGAAATATTCCTAGACTGAGTTAAAATAGCACCAAGAGAATCTAAGGATGAATTACATCATCTGTGGTCTATTGACATAGTAAGGTCATGATTTCTGCATCTTATATTGGAGACTGGCAAACCATTTTTATTTTGTTGCCAATTTTATAACAGTTTTGCTGTAAAAGACTTTAGGAGATCAAATGATTTAGCCTTCTGCCATCAACCTAGTGTATATCTAAGTCATTGAAATGTTATTCTGTTACATTGTTATTTGGGGAATAGTTTAAAAATACAGATTACAGGGTTCCACCCACCATTATTAAGGGGTTAAAATCCAAAGGAGCAGTGCCTGGAACTGGTGTTTTTGTTTGTTTGTGTTTTAAAGCTCTCCAAATGGTTATTATGCTGACTGACCAGTAACAGTCTGTGGTGTTTGGGAACCATTGGTCTGTTCTCTTGGATACCTACAAGGATGATAATGTTGGCTTCAGTCATATAATGCTGATGGTCAAGAAGTTCATCTTGCTTTCTCATGATTTGTCCTTTTGTGTGTTTAAAACTGCTCAGCCTCAAATTTTTTCATTTACTTAAAGCCACCTCATACCTCTATTCTCAGTTTCTTATATATACATATGTATGCACTAAGTTAACTAATACATCAAAATATATTTTTGTCAGAATAAAATTTATTAAAAATATTTTCTTAAATCATCAGACATTGATTCTTGAACTGACCATTTTTAAGATCTCTTTGGTCCATTTCAGAAATTGAATGTATATAAAAACAAGTCAGCATAAACTTTCATGTTCATATTTTCTAAAAGTTATGTAAGTACCTACACTCTGCATTACTATTCTGTGTTTATAATTGTCCTTTTCTTTTACCTAGTCTGTACAACCACATCCAGTTGTCTAGTAATTTAATGCCTGGCTGTGACTACTCACTCTTTAAGGTATGCTTCATTGGTGATTTCATATATATATTATAAGACTGGACCATTTAGGTATTCATTAAGAAACCTTGCCACAAAACTTAGGAATGGGAAATGCTCTGAAGGCTGGAGAAAAATTAAATAGCTTTGCAGGCATAAATATATTTTTCCCTGTTTTAGTATAAATAATTGAAATTAAGTGAAAGTCTTCTTACTTTGTGGGCACATACTGTGATTGATTTCAAAGAGCGTTTTGATCATCCAACCCAGTCTCTTTATATATTTGAGTAGACTGAAGTCCAGAGTTTGTCAGGAATTCTTCCCCGCCACCCCCCATCATAGTTTACATTCAGTATTATCCTATATTAGTTTCAGGTGTACAGGAGTGGTTATATTCCCCCACCTGAACCCCCTCAACCTTTCAAGTACCCACCTGGCACTGTACATAATTATTACAATATCAGCTACATTTCCTATGGTGTACTTTATATCCCCACGTGTCTGGATTTCTTTACATGGCGTATGTGGGTCCTGAGATATTTATAAATGGGTTTTATTAGGTTAGTAGGAGATAGGGCATTCATTAATTCTCTGAAATTATATAAATTGTGCATAAATTTTACATATATTTTCTAGATATAGAAATACATCTAACTTTGAGAAGCTACATTACTCAGAATGTTTTAGAACCTCCAAGTTAAATGAAACCCAAAGTTTGATAGCCTAAGTCAGGACTCGAATTCTGCAGTCGCATGCCTCTGGCTTTAAGTCCTGTATGCTTTTATTCTACTACATCAATAACAGTGAGAATGAAGTGAAAAGTTGACAGGGCATTGCTTGATGTTTCTAGTGATGATCTCTTAAAGTAACAATATTGTTTAATATTGTTTTTTTCTAACATTACAGGATGGTATTAAGCCTATGTGGGAAGATGAGAAAAACAAACGAGGAGGACGATGGCTAATTACATTGAACAAACAGCAGAGACGAAGTGACCTCGATCGCTTTTGGCTAGAGACAGTAAGGTTTTAGAATTATAAAACAGTTTTGGAATACTAAAACTAATTTACATTACATTTGACATCAGTTACTTAATCAAAGAGGAGGTAAGAATGCCCACTGTAGAAAATCTAAGCCAGCAATTAATTTTGTTCTGTCATCTGAGTTTTGAATATTTTACATACTAGTACAGCAAAAACCCCCTACTACATTACAAATTAGATACAAAGTGATTGACAAGTGACTCTGATCTTCCTCAACAAGCTCATTCTAATCATTACATTGACTTCAAAATTATAGAACCTCACATTTTGTATAAGTCTTTGCAACCCTCTTAGAGTATTGTTTTTGTACTAAACTTTGTAGATCAATGAAGCAAACTATAAGGTTGTAGCTTGATCATTCAGCTTGTTTGTTGTGATATAATCTGGAACTTTTGGCCTCATATATATTAAATATGAGATAATAGGCATTTTCTACAGTTAGAGGCTCTAAACCCCAAACTATTAGGAGCAGGAATCATAGTCTCTTTTGTATCCCTAGCACTTGGCACAGAGTCTGTTTTATAGTCAGCACTTAAGTGAAGCAATTAATACATACTTGAGTGACTGATTTTTTTTTTTTTTTTTTT